GAGATCATCAGGGTCCCGGAGGAGGCATGCCCCTGGCTGGGCTCCCCCTCACAGCTGTCTCTCAGGGACGTCTCCGAGCCAGCCTGCGGAGGCTGGCGTGGGCATCGCCCTCGGGGCCTGCGGGGGCCTCTGGACACTGGGCATCCTCCTTCTGTTTGTCACCCTCTTCCTCACAAACAGAGGTAGGTGAGCACCCTTGGAGAGGGGGGACGCAGGCTGGCTCGGACCACACCCCAAGCTCCAGCCTTCTTGGCTTGACCTGCTCCAGGGAGGAGGAGGGAGCCAAGCCCGAGGGCCCTGGGCTCCAGCAAGGCCTTTCAGAGCTCATCGGCCTGCCCGGAAGCCGCACTTGTGCTGACCCTGAGCAGGCCAGCGCCTTGGGTCACCGCCTTGCACCGTGGAGCCCCTCCTGGCTTCTGTGGGCTCTGCGTGCACCCCCAGGGGCTCCCGCTGGCTCTGGCCTGTCTTTGCTCCTCCTCATGGCACCGTGTGTCAGGGAGGGCACAGTGCTTCCTGCAGGGGCAGCCGTGGCTGTGGGAGCTGACACACATCGTGGCCTGGACCATTCCACATGGGGCTGACCGTGAACCTGCTGTGGGTCTGGTACAGGTTCCAAGGTACTGGCTGTGAGAGGGAGGCCCCTTGAGGAAGGGTCCTGGCCCACAAGCCCAGCTTAGAGCCAGCTCCCTGGTCTGGGGGTGTGGGCCAGGGGCAGGGCGGTGAGGGAGGAGGCGGGCAGGCAGTACCCAAATGAGGATATAAGCAAGGGAACAGATTTGGGTCCCACTCGGGGCCCAGACACCAGCCAGGCCCGGGCCCTCCAGGGCTTGATCCCAGCCAGAGGACGCACGGGACACACAGACTCTCCTGGGTCTTGCTCACGTTCCTGCCCACCGTCCCCTTGGCTGTGGTGACCACCGTCAGTGCTGTGCTTCTGATCAAGGGACGAGGTACAGGACTGGGACATACCTACCGCCAGACTCCCCAGGGTCCCTGCCTCCCACCCAGGGCTGTGTTTCAGGGTCAGGTCTTCTCTATCACCTGACCCCACCAGTTCTCCAGGCTCACTAGGCCTGGGCAGGGAGAAGGGTCGGTGGCCACGTGCTGGCCTCACTCTGCTGTGGGGTGGGGTTCCATAAAGGGGGCGTTATGGGGCGGCCCTGCACCCCTCTCATCGGGGCACAGCACAGAGATGGGGAAACACTTCCCAATTGGTAGTCTGCACGGTGGGAAGAGCCCACCGATGTCCCGCTCACAGCCCTGCTGCTTCCAGGGGTCCTTGGACAAGTCGCCCTGTGCCTCAGTTTCTCCATCTGTGAAATGGGAGCAGAGGCCGCTGGAACTGCCCCCTCAGGGTCACGAAGTGCGCAACCCCACTGGCTACTCCTGACGGAGGGGCTCACCCAAGTGTCAGGAGCTGAGTAGGGAGGGTGAGCCGGACAGAAGGCACAGCAAGACCCGCAGAGAGTGCGCCCTCCAGCCTTGAGCGGCCTGCTGGGGCTGGGGTGTGGGGCTGTGTGGGGTGGGCACTAAGTAGCCTGAGCAATAGCGTGAGCAGCTACCCAAAAACCCGCCCTGAGGTTCCCTGGCAAGCCGCCAGCAGAGAGCTGGGAGAGGACGTGAGGGCAGGGGAGTGGGGGAGGGGGCAGCCTTGGCCGCAGCTGAGCCACTGCTCACCCCCCTTCCTCCTAGTGTCTTTCCAGCTCAGTGTTCCTGCCAGGAGGTGAGTGACCCCTCACCCCAGACCCTCCCCAGACTGAGTCTGGAGGGACAAAGACCACCACCCTATCCACAGAGTGTGGGACGGGGCAGGAACCCCAATTGTGGGGAAGAGATGTCATAGGTAAGGCCTGGCTTTGACTGCAAGCCCTTGGAGGTTGGTTCTGGCTCTGTGGGCGGCGGGGAACCCGGAGGACACAGCACGTGAAAGGCCCCTGGGGTGTGGGTGCATCTCAGCTGGCCTCTGGGCGAGGCACTCAACCCTTCCTGGGAGAGGGGCTGTTCCTGCAACCAACCTTGCAGCCGAGCCTGGGGCGTGGAGTGAGGGCCAGGGAGCAGGGCGGACAGGGTCCCCGCCTTCCCCTACCCTGGAGCTCTGCAGCGAGGCCCCAACGCAGGGGCCGACTCCAGGGGGTGCAGAGGTGCAGGGGGAGAGGACGGCAGGTGCTGAGCGGCGGGGAGGAGCCAGAGCTGGGCGCGGCCCAGAGGGGGTGAGGGCGGGACCCAGGCTGTGGACCCGCGGGGCTGGGGCGCTGTCTGGGTGAGCCCTGGCTGCTCCAGGGCTGGGTGCGGGGCCGGCGCCTCCCACGCGGCTCTCCAAACCATTGTGTCCGGACTGCAGCCATGGGAAGAAGGGAGCGTCGGGGACACTAGAGGCAGAGGAGAACAAGGCGCTCGCCAGCCCTGCCCTGGGAGGAGCCATCTGGGAGCCGTGAAACCAAGTCGAAGCACGAGAAATCTGGGAGGCCAGCCTGACTTGAAACCCGATGTGACTGGAGCCCTCACCTGGCCCCAGAGATTAAAGGGCGGAGGCAACCAGACCCCTCTCCCCGAGACAGCAGTGTGGGGCCTGCAGCCCAGGAGGGGCAGGGGCGGCCTGCTGGCATCCGTCGAATGGGGACAGTGGCCCCTGCCGGGTGCTGAGGATGGCCAAGGGGAGAGCGCCGCCAGCGGTCCTGGGAGCAGAGCACCCCTGGCTGGAGACGCCAGGCTCCGAGAGAGAAGCAAACTTTCTCAAGGGCGGGGGAGCCCCTGCTGCAGTCACCCAGTATCTTCCCTGATTCTACTTAGTCTTTCCACCGATTTCTGTAAGAAGTTGACACCAATTTCATATTAAAAACTAAAGAAAACAAATACATATGTGGGCACCCGGTGGCTCCGTCAGTTAAGCTTCCAACTCTCCCTATCTCCGCTAGGCCTTAATCTCTCAGGGTCGGGAGTGCACGTCCCACACTGGGCTCCATGCTGGGCGAGGAGCCTGTCATTTAAGGCCGACATTCAGATGCTGTTTATGAATCAACGTTTCTTCAAAATTTTCACGCCAGGTGGAGAGTGTGCATTGTCCTGAGTGTACGTCATTTTATTCTTTCTCATAAACCTCACTTTTTACTAGGAAGAAAACGCCTCTTCTGTGTTCGTAATTGGAAGAGGCTCTGCCCCACACCCCATGCAGCTGCGGCCAACAGTACCAAGTCCAGAGAGAGGAGGGTCATCGCAGCTCTGCAATCAGCCTCCTAACACGCTTTTCCACACAAGCCTTCCTACTGATGGGGGTTCCTTCTGGCCTGCTCCTCCCAGACTCACCAGTGGACAAGTCTGAAATCTGTCCACGCTACAGCAAACGTGGACAGACGTAGGCAGTGACCTATATGACGACAGGACCAAAACAGGTGTAGATTTAAGGTGCAGGTCAAAGGGGAGAGAGAGACACCTCTTGGGCGGGCATCTGACAGCCTGGGAGGTGGGGGTGCCGCTGCTTTCAGCACCGCTCCCAGACCTAGCCAAGGCGGAATTAAATGAAGGGTTTATGGTGCTGTTTTCCACATGTCACAGCAAAAAGAGCAACAGCAAAATGCTTGGTGGACCCCTTGCTCTCCAGCCATCCCCCCAGCTAGGAAGGGAAGCTGACCCCGGTCTGGTCAGTGGGATGAATATAAGGGCCATTTTGTTGTTTATGCAGTAAACTTAGATTGAACCTGTCCCTCCCCCCAAGAGGAAAGCGCTTAGAAACAGAATTGGTGAAATACGGCCAAATAGCCCCCGATAACGGAGTCCAGATACAAGGACGTGTCCGGCCTGGTGGAAACGTCCAATCAAGGGAAAGCGCACGTATTACCTCCCTAGGACGTGTCTGGCCAGGTGGAGCCGTCAAATCAGGAAAGCACCTCCCTAACCACCCAAAAATGTGGGCCCTGCCTTTTGGGCGCCAATTCTGACCAGAGTGATAGGCTAGTTCAAATAACTACTATAGGGTGAATTGTAATTCAATTGGCCGCCTGTGTATGGCCAGGCTGACCACATGGCCTTTGCTCTATAAAAGTTAGTCTGTGAGGCTGGGAGGGGTCGCCTCTTTCCAAGAGACGGCCCGGCCCGTCAGTTTGATTCCCGATGCTTGGCGCCAGATAAAGCCCCGCTTAACTTTCGCTTTGTATCAGTCTCGTCCTTTTGTCTACGGACCCTTTCAATGAGTTGAACAGGTGCGCACGTGTGGGCTTCGGAGCCCCGCAGAGGAAATCCCAGAGAGAGAAGCAGCGGACAACCCAGGAGCGGACACGATCTTCCTAGTAACCCTAACTCCCCCGGGGGCCTCCAGAACGAGTGAAGAGTCACGAAGTGCTTCGAGGAAAACCAGGACCCCCAGACAGCAGAAAAGCGGTGGGGCGCTCTGTCCCGACAAGCTAGAGGGAACCTTCACAGCGCGGGCCGGGCGGCTTGCTCACGGCTGGAGACCGGAACTTGGGGAGCCCTCTCCCGCGCGGGGCCACGGGGCTGAGAGTCCGCAAGTCCGGCCCGCGGAGCGTGGGGGCTGCCCCGGCTGCGGGCGGCTCGGTCAGACTCGGGGGCAGCGTCCTCCTCCGGAAGCCCGAACCCCGCCGGCCGGGTCGGACCTCTGCAGGGCGCCCACGCAGGCCGTCTAGCTCCGACTTCGGGGCGAGGGACTGGACGGAAATGCCCCGAGGGGGGTCAGCCGTTGTCCGGGCGACGGGGTGGCTCCGGGGGAGGGCGGCCGAGTTCTGTCTCCACGGAGACCGTGCAGGCTCCGCCAACGCCACGAAAGGCCGGCACCCCCGCCCGACGGCCAAGGCCCGGAAGGAGCCCGAAAGGAAAGAAAGGCTGGAGACGACACCCTGACCCCCAGCCTGACCCCCTCCCCCATTCTCGTGGCCCGGGGCCGCGTCCCACCCCGCCAGAAGACTCAGGCCGGGGGAAGGCAGGGTTAGGCTGGAGGCGCGGGCCGGGGCCACCGCCGTCCCGCGTGTCGGCGCCCCAGGCCGCGGCCCATGGCGCCCAAGAAGAAGCGCGGGCCCGGCGCGGGGCGGCGGCCGGGCGCGGCGGGAGACGGCGCCGAGCCGCGGCTGTCGGAGCGCGGGCAGTACCTGCAGCGCGAGCACAGGCTGCTGTCGGAGCAGCTGGACGCCTGCGAGGCGCGCGTGGACCAGGCGCTGCGGGAGAACGCCGGCCTGGACCGCGAGGCCGCGCGCCTGCGCGAGGAGAACCGGCTCTACGCCAGCTACGTGAGCGCGCGCGCGCAGCGCTGCGCCCGGGCCGTCGTGCGGCTGGACGAGCAGAACCGCGTGGACCTGACGCAGATCCACTGGCAGCGGGCCGAGCTGGCCTCGCTGTACCGCGGCCGCGAGGACGGCGTGCGCACGCAGCTGCTGGACATGGAGGCGCGCGCGGCGCGGATGGCGCGCCAGGTGCAGGAGCTGCGGCCCTACAAGGCTAGTGAGCGCGCGCCCGGCGGGCGGGGCGGGGGCGCGCCGCGCGTCCCCGCGCTGACCCGCGTGTCCCCTACGCCGCAGGAGCTGCAGCTGGAGCAGTTGGCGCGGATCCGCGCGCTGGAGCGCGAGCTGCTGCACATGCGCGTGGAGCACACGCAGCTGCTGCACCGCGTCAAGGGCCGCTTCCTGGAGGACAAGGCGGCCTTCGAGCGCGAGGCGCGGCAGCGCGTGCAGTCCCTGGCGCGGCGCGCGGAGCGGGAGGCGGCGCGCGCGCTCGTCCTGCACACGCAGGCCATCCGGGCTGACAACGCGCGCCTGCGGCGGGAGCTCCTGCGGCTCCTGCGCTGGGCCCAGCTGCTGCACGACACGCGGCGCCGGCTTCTGGAGCAGCGGGACCAGCTGCGGCGCGAGCACGAGGACACCCGGGACCTGGCGCGGGTGCATGGCTGGCTGCGCCGGGGCCGCGACGGACCGCCGCTGTGGCAGCCGCCGCCGCCGCCCGCCTCGCGTCCCGGGTCCTTCGCCCCCTCCACAGCGCCATCGAGCGTGGCTCCCCGGGCCCCGTCGCGCGCGGGATCCGGGTCACTGTTCCCGTCGCACGTGGGCCCCGGGATCCCATCGCAGGCCCCTTCGAAGGCGGGTTCACGGGTTCCTTCCCAGCACTCCTCGCGCGCGGACTCCCGGGTCGCGTCCCTGATCCCGCCCCACCGGGGCTCCCGCGACCCGTCCTTGACTGTGTCGCGCCCAGGCTCGGTCTCTTCGACGTTCTCCTTACCTGGGCCCGCACACAGCACGACTCCCTCCGCTCCGCCTGTCCTGGGCCCAGGCTCTTCCTGTCCCGCGGTCGAAGGGGACGGCGGGCGCTGACGCCGCGGCGGAAGGCGAGTGCGGGCGAGCGGGCTCCGACGGCGGGCGCGGGCGGGCAGCTGAGCGCGGCGCCCGCGGACTGCGTGAACGTGGTGTTAATAAAGGTGTGACGGGCCCTCCTGGCTCTGGCGCCACAGGGACCACTCACTCTGGCTTCCGGTTCCCTAACTTTGCGGAGGCCTGATGCGTTCCTCGCCTCCTCGGCTGACCCCAGCTGCCCCGCAAGCGGGCCACACCAGTGTCCTCCCGCCGGCGCTGGCAGAGACGGACGTCGCCCGCACGGACAGAGGCTGCCCGAGCAGGAAAGGAGGCCAGCCGGGAGGAGCTGGGCGGCCACGGGTTGTAGCCCGGAGGGCCAGCGTGCGATGACCTGCGGTCAGGACGGCCACTGGGGCGGGGGCGGGGGAGAGTGGGGCTGCCACCAAGGGCCACGGGAGGAGTAATTTTTAATATAATTTCCAACAGAGAAAAGTTGCTGAGTACAGAGAACTCCCGTTTACCGAGATTCCGTCCCCAGGTCTGTGTGTGCATTTTCCCCTGAACCACTTGAGATTCGGTTCAAGACATTATGCCCCTTCAGTCAGAGGATTTAAAAATCCTTAGTGTTCCTGAGCACAAGAATGTTCTGCCTTACCCCGGTACGATGACCCAAATCCGAAAGTTTAGTACAGAGAAAACAGTATTCGCTAAGCCCCAGCTCCTACGAAAATGTCGGCTGTCCCGCTCTCCGGGGCTGCACAGGGACGGCGTTCAGCATTAAGTCCGTGCGCCAAGGCTGGCCAGTGGGATGCCCCTCGGTTGTGGCTGTGGGAGGTCCAGCAGCTCCTGGGGGAGGCCGGGTCCCGCAAACCCTCAGTACTAACCCAAGGGCTGGGGACTTCATCCTGACCACAGAGGGAAGGTTCTTAGAAATCCTGGGTCTTTGGTTGCGCCCTGGGGCCAGCGCCCGCTAGGCCCAAGCAGGAGGTGGTCGCGGCCGGGACTGGGGCACTCCTGCGGCGGCGGCGGCGGAGGGCAGGGCTGGGGGAGCCTTGGGGACTCGCCGGGGCAGCCGCCCCCACCGTGGCAGGGGTCCGAGCAAGTCCTGATGGCCCGGTCAGCCTTAAAATAAAACTGCCAGTTACTCTACAGAAACAGGTTTGTTCAGCATCGCGGCCCGTGACCAGCCGTCGGACACAGTTTCAGAGAGGGAAGGGGGCGCCCGCGGGCGGCTGTAAGGAAAAAGCCCGCCGGCCAGAGGGAGTGCAGCGGTTTCTTGAGGCCGAGCTGTTGGTGGGAAGCCGGTCTTCCTCCCGCGGGGGTCCGAGCTGCAGTGACTGCAAGGTCCCCGCGGGGTCCTCGAGAGCGAGGCCGGCGTGAGCGCTGCTCCTGGCGGGACGAGGCCGCCGCTGGCTGGTGATCACCGCCCGCGCGGGAGGACCCCGGGGGTCGGCCGGGATGGATGGAGACGGGAGTTCGGATCCCAGGTTTAACGTGGAGCCTTTAGTCATCAAGGGCAGTGTACACTGACGGCGAGCCACCCAGGGGCAGTGGGCAGAAGCCCCGCCCAGCCGCACCTAGCTGTGTAGACGGTTCTGTAGGCTTCGCAACCCCCCCCCCCCCCCCCCCCGCCACCGTGAGACTTAAGTTGGAATGTTCTGGCCCTGGGTGGACAGGGTTCCTCCGCCCCACCCAGCAGTAAATACAGCACTCTTGCAAGGGCTCAGCATTTCTCTTTAAAAGGAACTAGCGGGGGCGCCTGGGTGGCTCAGTGGGTTAAGCCTCTGCCTTGGGCTCAGGTCATGATCTCAGGGTCCTGGGATAGAGCCCTGCGTCGACCAGCTCTCTGCTCCGCCGGGAGGCTGCTTCTCCCTCTCCTTCTGCCTGCCTCTCTGCCTACTTGAGATCTCTCTGTCTCTGTCAAATAAATAAATTTTTTAAAAAATCTTTAAAAAGAGGGAAGGGAAATTGTTATGGATTAACAGACTTAAGATACTTTTCCACTAAATGCAACATACAGACCGTGTTCAAACCCCCATTCTAATTTGAAGTGTTAAATCAAGATGAAGTGCTTTGGTACTCATGAAGCTAGTAAGCAGTGGTATGCCCCACACTTCCTCTTCCCGGGTACTCCTGGCAATGGACACTCCAGTCTCTCTTCTGCCCAGACACCCCATTCTCAAGACCCTCTAGCCCACTGATTCCCATAAAACAGCTCCCTAAGAGACATCACTCGGACTGGGCATTTGTTCATTTCTCATTGTAGTTCGGTCATTTTTACTTTATGCATTTTGAAGCAATTGTTAATGCATAGGAGTTTAGAACTCTTCCTGTAGTTCCTTCCTGTAGTATGGGGGGTCCAGCTCTCTCACCAGTCTGCACTGTTCTCCTTCACACCTCTGCCCGCAGTCTGTCTGTATTAAGATGGCTGCTCGAGCTTTCTTCTGGTTTGTCTTGCACGCCACTTTCTTTTTTCTTTTTTTTTTTTTAAGATTTTATTTATTTGACAGACAGATCACAAGTATGCAGAGAGGCAGGCAGAGAGAGAGGAGGAGGCAGGCTTCCCACTGACCAGAGAGCCTGATGCGGGGCTCGATCCCAGGACCCCGGGACCATGACCTGAGGCATGGCTTTAACCCACTGAGCCACCCAGGTGCCCCGGCATGCCCCTTTCTATGGGTGTCCATTTTGTATTTCAGATGTGTTCCTAGTAACAGTTATAAGTGGTGCTTATTAATTTAAACACAGTCTAACAGGGGCACTTGGGTGACTCATTTGGTGAAGCATCTGCCTTTGGCTCAGTTCATGATTCTAGGGTCCTGGGATGGACCCGGGTGTCAGGCTCCCTGCTCAGTGGGGAGTCTGCTTCTCCCTCTCCCTCTGCCCCTTCCCCCCACCCCCTGCCCCCACTTGTTCACTCTGTCACTCTCTTAAAAAAGTAAAAAAAAAAATCTTAAAAAAAAATACAGTCCAACAATCTTCATCTTTTAACTACACACTATAGTTATTTTATATTCATCGATTTGCAGTATTGGTAGTATTTTTTAAAAAGATTTATTTATTTATTTATTTATTTGACACAGAGAGAGAGAGAGATCACAAGCAGGCAGAGAGGCAGGCAGAGAGAGAAGGAAGCAGGCCTCCACTGAGCAGAGAGCCCAATGCAGGTCTCGATCCCAGGACCCTGAGATCATGACCTGAGTCAAGGCAGTGGATTAACGCACGAGCCACCCAGGTGCCCCTACTGGTAGTATTTTTAAAAAGATTTTATTTATTTGAGAGAGAATATGTGTGTGCAAGCGGGGGAGGGGCATGCAGAGGGAAAAGCAGACTCCCCACTGAGCAGGGACCACCCCCCCCACCAAACTAGGCGATGTGGGGCTGGATCCCAGCACCCTGGGATCATGACCTGAGCTGAAGGCCCATGCTTAATCCACTGAGCCACCCAGGGGCTCCCAGTGTTTTTTTTTTTTTTTTTTCAGTTTATTTTATACTTTGTGTTTTGTTTCTCTTTTCATGTTTCATTTGTTTTCCTCTACTTGTATGGAAATCAACTCTTCTTCTCCTCTTTTAGTGCTCACTTGAGAAATGGAAACATGCACATTTAAGTTCATAATTCATGAAGTCAATACATTTTCCCTCCTCCTAACCCTCAGAATGCTTTAAATTTCCATCATACCTTCCCAGTCTGAAAAAACAAAAAACCTTCCCGCTCTAGAAGCTACTGAGAACAAGATGACCCACAAATCAGACATCATTACTTTCCTCGTGAAAATTCATCCAGCTGACACTCGGCATGTGAGACGCATGTGTCTGTGTGTTTTGACTCCATAATGTTTACTTTCGAAGTCCTGCTGAGCTGGTTCTGCTGCTCCCTTGTCCTTGTGCAGCTTTCTGGCCTCTCTCGTCTAAACAAGCTGCTAAAACTCGGCCGTGGTCTGCCCTGTCCAGCCACTGCCCTGAAACCACTAGGAGGATGGAGGAGAGTGTGACCCCTCGGGCCCCTGAGGCTGGGCCACATGGGACACCCAGCCTGCAGGGTGCCCGCCGGGGGTCGACCCAGCTGGGCACCTGCAGTCCAGGCCTCCCTCAGATTGTCATGACTGTCCTCCTCTGTCCCCTCAGCTCCTGCCCACTGCTCTGTGGCTCCGGCCCCAAGTCCCGTGGGTTTTCCCCATCGCCGCCTGAATCCCTTGCCCTGGGACTTCCAGGCCAGCCCAGAGAGGGGGGATCACCCACAGCCATGCTCTGTCCCTCCCAGAAAAGAGCAAATGACCTTGTTCAGCTTTCAAATAAAATAAACTAATAGCATAAAGAAAGGATAAGTCTTTATGATGATGTAAAGAAAAAGGCCAACCACACACCAGGATAAGCAGGTGCACGACCTGGAGAAGAAGCCTCCCTCCCCCACACTGCCCAGGCCTCAGAAGGGCGCAGGAGAAGAAGCATCGTGGGGGGCGGGGAGCAGAGCGTGGAGGGCCCGCCGGCCGGTGCTGCTCCTCCGTCTGAAGCAGGCATAGTTCGATTCCGCTGTCTCCTAGGACCCTGTTCCGCTGTGTGTTGTGTATTGAATTGTGTCCCCCAAAAGACATGTTCAAGCCCTAGCTTCGAGTGCGAGCTTATCTGGAAATAAGGCTACAGCACTCACATGGGTGCAGGGTGGGCCCTCGTCCAGGGGCATCAGTGTCCTTGTAAGAAGATGGAAACATGAAGACAGACGCAGGAGCACCCCTGACGGTAGAGGCAGAGGCAGAGCCGCGCTTGTAGGCCAGGGCGCCCCAGGTGTCACCGGCACCACCGCTTGCAGGACCCCGGAAAGACTCTCCCCCGCAGGCTTCAGGGGCAGCACAGCTTCCACCTGGGCCTCAGGCTTCCGGCTGCAGTACCCAGACGACAGCCGCCCCAGGAGACTGCCCCAGCCCGTGTGCACACACACGGCGGCACAGTCGGCAGACATGTCCTCTGGCGGGACGCATAGTACAGCAGCCTGTGGTGGTGTTGAGAGGACGGGGACAAGGAAGGCCCACGGCAGACCAGCCCAGCACCTGTGGACAGACGTGGGGCTCCACAAGCCTGAGGCAAACAAACGGAAATCACAGGCTCATTCACGCAGCGTGTGACAAGCCCTGGGGGACCCGCTCCGGCAGTCACAGAATTCCCCTGGGGACAGGCCGGAGGCCGGGATCTCCGCTTTCCGCTCTGTCTCCCACTGTATTCAATGAGCTCATGTTGAACTGTAACGTGGAATAAATGTCACTAAAACAACATGCACTTGGCTCTCTTTTCTAGACAAAAGTCGCCTGGGTAATTGATCAAGGGAACCAGAACCTCACTGCACCTTCCCCGCCGTGACTGTCCGCAGCTTCT